TTTTTTTTTTTTTTTTTTTTTTTTTTTTTTTTTTTTTTAACAGTTTTTTTTTTTTTTTTTTGCTTTCTAAGCTTCTAATCTAGTCGTTTTACTTTCGTTTCACGAGTTATTTTGTTCTTATTGTCAACGTCTTTTCTCACACAAATTGCACATGAATTTTGTGTTTGAATGTTATATCATAAAATATTAACACCATTGAGGCAAACAATTAAATTCGGCGATTCATGACGTTAACCAAACTTCTGGGTCACGGAGGCGAAAGGGAAAAAAGAAAAGTCTTGATGAAAATAATTTAAATTTGCAAACGAAGTCGGACTAGGAACGTCACGTCAAAATAAAAGCGATGTTTGCACTCATGTGCGCCTTTTTATAAGCTGGTCTCATATTAAACCCATTAATTAGTTGATTATTTATTCATGTGTGCTAATGAACTTGATAGCATCTTTAAAAAATATAGATACAATTTTTTTCACATCAAAATTTGCTGTTGTTTCGTGACTTACTACCTTTTACACAGAATGCGCAGATGATGTGATAGCTTACGTCCTCTGAAGACCCCATGCCATTCAGTCATTTATTCATTCATTCATTCCATGCATTCAGCTTATTTTCCTGTTTTTATATTTCTAGTATTTTCCCTGGAAGCAATTTTTTTAAACTCTATTGAACGATACTGTTCAAGGGCAATTAAGGACGTTTGAAGGCAAATGAAGTTGGGATGATAATTTTTGTAAACTTGGCATAAGCGTTCCCCAATTCAACATATTCTTGCTAAAAATAAAATTTAAAAAATTTGGGAGTCACCGACTTTGTTATTTTGCTAAACACTGAGCAAACATGGTATCACACAGCGAAGAAAAGAAGTGCCCTGTAGCGTAACCTAATTAAGGTATCAAAGAAAACTACACTTCAAAAAAATTTGAAAACATCAAAGAAATGAAGGGAAAAGAATGGCTATCCCAACTGACTTCTTTTAGCATTTCTGAATAGCGCTGGGCGCAGTCGATGACGTTTTAAAAACGAATACAAATAAGACGAAACCAAAGATAATAAAATCGGTTCGTATGACACTGGGCACGGTTAACGGAATGCAATGTTTGTCTGAGTCTTTAAGGCTATGTTTAGAATCTGTGCGCTGCGTTATATTTATCAAACACTATTTTCGTCAATTCGGTGTCAATCTCCTTGCGTGATGAGAAATGTTTTTAAAAATTCACATATGGTGTAGGTTTTGTTAGTATCAAGATCTTAATTTTTAGACAAAAAATTGGGGGTCACGTACGGACTTTATTTTATCATCAAGACATTACAAATTTAAATTAAATTACAGAAAGTGAAGTAACCATAGAAACACTTATTCGATTTTATAACCTTAACTGCGAGCCTTTAGGTGTCAGCGGATACATTTCGCGCCAAAATCCAAGATGGCGGATCGTTGACGAAGAAGAAGATCAATAAACAATATTCAGGGATTAAATTTTCTCCATGGCTGCCGCACAAGGAATTGGTTTAGGCTTTAACAAAGCGAAATTAGAAAGACGAAGGCCTTCGTAAGTAATAAGGAAGCTATCAAAACACTTTTAGTTCCTCAATTGCTTGGCGAAATTCAAACTGGTTTCTGTCAAGAATCGGTTGGAGGGCTCTCTAATTACTAAGTACTGTTATCATTTCTTATTATTTCTTATTAAAAAGCAAGCGACAGACGACTCTAAGAACTTTTAGCATCGTGAGGAACTGGGAATCGAAAGAAGCACAACCAGTACAGACTCCTATTAAGGTAAAAGTTATAAATTCAAACTCATTTAAACCATAGTTGCACTAGAGTGGAATGATTCCCTTCTATTAACTATGTTTAAACTAGTCTAGGATACGAAAAACAATATTTTTTTTTTCAATTTCTTTTCTTAAATCACATCTTATTTGAGCTTTTTTCATATTCTTCTATAAAGTATTATTTACATCGACATAGCCGTGCAAAAACAGGATTTACCTGTAAGCTTATGATGTTTTAAGTTTACTTCTACGTGTCTATTGGGAGCTGAATTAAATGGTGATATATATTAAGTACTTCTTGAAGATTCCAATGACATTCCCAATGAATTTATGAAATGTATTTTTTGATCTCCAGGAAGATGCAAATGAACAGGAATTAGTTCGTTCCCCAGTGTTTCCTCCACCCTCCTCTGTAAGAGGATATTTGGAGGAGCCACTTACTTTGACCAGTGACAGTGATGATGCAGCGAATTCATTGGCTGAAACAACCAGCAGTGTTTCAATTCAACCTGGCGAAGAGAACAGAGGTGATGGAGCAGTCTGGTTACGTTTGATGCCACAGCATGATCTAGAATATGACTTTATCTATCCCATCCAGTCCATACATCTTATTCATTCATCCATCTCATCCTATTTATCCATTCATGAATCCATCTGTCGCATTCTATTCATTCATTCATCCATCCATCCATCCCATCCTATTCATCTATTCATTCTTCTGTCCCATCCTATTTATCCATCCTTCTAATTCATCTATCTAATCTATCTTATCCATCCTGTTTATCCATTAATCCCATCCTATTTATCCTTTCATCATGTATGCACCCATCAGTTCATTATTGCATCCTATTCATTGCATCCTATTCATTCATCCATCCGTTCAATTCATCCATTCATCTTTCCCAACCCTTTCATTTGTATTCATCCATCCATCCTATTTATCCTATTCGTCCATCCATCCATCCTATTCATCCATCCATCCTATCTATCCTATTTATTCATCCATCCATCCTATTCATCCATCCATCCATCCTATCTATCCTATTCATCCATCCATCCATCCATTCATCCATCCATCCATCCTATCTATCCTATTTATCCATCCATCCATCCTATTCATCCATCCATCCATCCTATCTATCCTATTTATTCATCCATCCATCCTATTCATCCATCCATCCTATCTGTCTTATTCATTCATCCATTCTATTTATCCATTCATCCCATCCAATATTTTCCTTGAACACTTAATTATTTAACTTTCAACCCCTTCTCTTTTCAATTTTATCAGTGAAATTCTCAGATGCAAATAAATAGTTTTAGATCCGCAACAGGCATCAAGTTTGGTTGATTCTGATGCAAGTAATATTATTGTTAATATTAATAATGATAATATATTTTAGACACCAATAATAGTCCTGCAACATCTATAATTGCTTTGACTGAAACCTGGCTTAGGAATAATGATAGTAACAGTGACTTTGCTTCTCGCGATATTTGTCCAGATGGTTTTTCTTTTGAACACTGTCCTCGAATTAATCGTTCTGGTGGTGGAATTGGTCTTCTTTTCAAGAAATCGATTAAAATCAAACGTATTAACACTACTGTTTCTTACTCTTCTTTTGAACACTTGGAATTTACTCTTCGTGGAAGTTCGAGTCAAGTCCGTCTTATTGTTGTGTACAGACCGCCGCCTACTTTGAAAAATAATTCATCAACTTCTAAGTTCTTCCAAGAATTTTCGTCGCTGCTTGAATCTCTTTCTATGTTCAATGGTAAACTGTTAATTGTTGGTGATTTTAATTTCCATGTTGATAACCCAAATGATGTCTACGCTGTTCGTTTTACTGATTTACTTGATTGTTTTAATTTATCTATCTTGAATAACTTGGCTGAACCTACTCACAAAAACAATCATGTTCTTGATCTCCTGATATCTAGGAATGATGACTTGCTTGTTAAGAATGTTTATATCCGTGATCCTGTGTTGTCTGATCATTTTGCTGTTCATTGTAAGTTAGCTGTCACCAGACCCTGTGCTTCTATACGTACTCTGGCCTATCGTAAAATTCGTTCTATTGATATGGATCATTTTAGCCGTGATTTATCTCAATCGTCATTAATACAATCTCCTGCTGCTGACTTAGATGATCTCTGCCTTCAATATGACTCTGTTCTGAAATCATTGCTTGATAAACATGCCCCGTTATGTACTAAAATTGTCACGCAACGCCTGAAAAACATACGCAACGTCATAAAAACAAATAAAATCAAGAAAAGAAAGCTTGAAAGGCGCTGGCGGAAATCTAAACTAGCCATTGATCGTGAATTGTATATTGAACAAAGTAACCTCGTGAAAAAGTTAATATTCGAAGCTAAAATGAATTTCTACTCAAATTTAATCTCTGATGCTGGTTCTGATTGTCACGCAATCTTCAAATCTATTGATCATATGCTACATTTAACTCCTGAAAAAAAGCTACCATCTTCTTCTTCGTCGCAAGTTCTCGCTGATACTTTTGTCGATTATTTTAAAGATAAAATTATCAATATTCGTAATGGTTTTCCTACTTCTGAAAATTCTATGTCAACTCT